GATTTTTGTTGTAAACAAAATTTTGCCGGCACACTCGAAATGGCCACATTGCAATGTGATTTTGCGCGAAAAATTAGGCTTCTTTGAAAATTCCCAGGCCGTCCCAGCAACGCACCTCGGACGAGCCGCTTACACTGTCGGATTCAGAATAGATTCTAGTTTCTAAAATTAACAATTGCAAAGAGTTCTAACCCTTTCTAATGAGAAATACAAAATTCAAGCGCACGCATACACTGAAATACGATCTCATTCTGATTGGCTGATTTGCCACCGTAATACATAGTAAGGCTCAAGGGGTCGTTGTCGTATCAGGTACTACAGATATGTACCCGAGGTACATATATGTATACACAAAGTGTACCAGACTTGTACTACAGAAGTGTACCCTAAGTTCTTAACCCTAACACTAACCCTAACCCAAACCCTAACCCTAACCCTAACCCTAACCCTAACCCTAAACATACCTCATATAAAAATATAAACATAATACTAAACAACCTAAAATTACCTCGGGTACATATCTGTAGTACCTGATACGACAACGACCCCATCTGCCATAGTAAGGTGGGGATCCATTTGCGGCCAGGCATGCACGATTAACGCAGAATATTATATAGAAGCGTTTACACTATAGATGGGACACGAGGTTTAGATATATACGGATGTAGATTCAACTAGTCATCCGGGCGTTGCCAGTGAGAAAGTGCGAGAACGAGGAAGTTGTACACATGTACACACGCATCGTGCATGCACACACGCACATGCGCACGTGTGTAATCTAAACGCATGGTACGCTTTGAACAACCTGTTTTCTAACACGCACCGAGTTATACTAGACTGAATGTGGTTAGCTGAAATAAAGACTGTAGGAGGAACCGACATTACATATTTGCTTCAATTTAATAGCTAAATTTGTAGTATATAATATGATATAGTAATTATATATATATAACCAAAATGTGTGTGTGTGTGTGTGTGTGTGTGTGTGTGTGTGTGTGTGTGTGTGTGTGTGTGTGTGTGTGTCTGTGTGCGTGCGCGTGTGCGTGTAGTAAGGGAAAAATCGAATATATGCACCTCCTGTTTTCTTACTTTCTACTTTATTTAAATTCCCGTTTCGCGATGTTCTCATCCAATCATAGCCTGCCACATCATCATCAGCTTCTACCGCTGCTGCCGCATGTCATCGCAGCATTGCCTTCTTCTTCTGTCTGTCCTCCTTGCCCTCTAACGCTGAACCTTCTTCTCTGTCCTCCTTCCTCTTTAACGCTGAACCTTCTTCTCTGTCCTCCTTCCTCTCTAACGCTGAACCTTCTTTTCTGTCCTCCTTTCTCTCTACTGCGGGACCTTCTCTGTTCTCTTGTCTACCGAGGGACCGATCTTCTTCTCTCTAACGATGAGCCGATCTTTTTCTCTCTATCGAGAAACAGATATTTTCCTCTCTAACGAGAGACGGATCTTTTTCTCTCTAACGATGAACCGCCTGACCGTACGATATCTTCAAATTTTGCACAAGGGAGAGATAGTGATCCGCTAGGGGACGGCTCTGATTGGCTAATTTTGTCTCTTGTTTATTTTTATTATTTTTGGCTAATTTTGTTTTATTTTAGAATTAGGGTTAGGGTTAGGGTTAGGGTTAGGATTAGGGTTAGGGTTAACTGATTTCTATATCCACAACACACTAATAATGCGCCATCTAGCGAATGACTATCTCTCTCCTGAGACCTACTTGATATCTTCTATCTGGATCCTTTCGAGCGGCGGCTCTGCGCTCGTTGTAGCTGTCTCTGTGTCGCTGTCGCGGAGATGAAAGAGTTAACCTAACTTTGATGTGATGCCGAGATCCTTATGGTGACGAAAGGTGCGATCCACCTTGCTCTCACTTCCCACCCACCGCTAGGAACGCTCTCGTCGCTCCGGCACGCTCACGTCTCGTCTGCTACCGTCGCCGACAACGGGGCGACGTCAACTGACGACGAGAGGCGACCAGGAACACGGTGAAACCCCCGCGCACGCACGCACGCACGCACGCACGCACGCACGCACGCACGGGTGGATGTACTGATGACGGTTATGAGGTAACCAGGTAATAGGTGTCTGCGTGTCTGTTGCCTTAAAACACAGGGTAAGATTTACCTGGTTGGGGTTAGCTGCTGATGAGTAGCTTAACGCTCGTGACCGTACGGTAATGTCCGGGAGGAGGGGCAGTGATGTCCGGGGGAGGAGTCAGAGGGTGATGCACGGCCGGAGAGATGTCACCGATCTCTCTCTCTCTCTCTCTCTCTCATCTTCATCTCTCTCTCGTCTCATCTCTCTCTCTCCTCTCTCCACTCCTCATCATCCTCTCTCTCTTTCTCTCTCCTCTCTCCTCTCTGGCTCTTCTCTCTCTCTCTCTCTTCGCTCTCCACTCTCATCTCTCTCTCTCTCTCATCCGCGCTCGGAACCACTTCTCGCCTCTCTCTCTCATCTTCTCTCTCGCCCTCTCCCACTCTTTCTATATATTATATATATATAATATATATATATATATATCTTCTCTCTCTCTCTCCTCTCTCTTTTTCCTCTGCTCTCGCTTCTCACTCCACCTCATCGCTCTACCCTCTCCTACCTCCATCCGCTCCTCAATCTCTCATACTCTCTCCTCTCTCTGTCCTCCTCGTCCTCTCGCTCCTCTCTCTCTCTTCTCTCTCCTCTCCTCTCCTCCCTCGGACCATCTCTCATCTCCGCTTCTCTCTCTCCATCTCTCTCTCATCCTCCCACTCCTTCTCTCTCATCTCTCCTCGCTCTCTCCCTCAATCGCTCTCCACCACACTCTTTCTATATATACTATATATATATATATATACTATTTCTCATCTCTCTCTCCTTTCCTCTTGCTCTCGCTCTCTCTTTCCTCTTGCTCTCCGCATCCTCCCTCTTCGCTCCCCCACCCCTCTCTCTTCTCTCCTCTCTTCTCTCTCTCTGCTCCTCTCCTCTCTCTCCACCTTCCTCTCATCTCTCGCCTCTCTCTCGCTCTCCCCCCTGCTGCTCTACCGCATCTGGCGAGACCCTCCCCCGTTACCCTGCTACCGTCACGTCTCTCCTGTGCCGTACACTCACTCCTTTAGACGCGCTACGACGGACGCTAGGTAAAGTGGTAATGAATGATGATGATGATGATGATGATGATGATGATGATGATGATGATGATGATGTAAGAATGATGATAATGACGATGCTGCTGCTGATAATAATGAGGACGATAATGATGGCGATGATAATGATGATGACGACGGCGACGACGACAATGATGATGATGACGACTATGATGATGTTGGGGATAACGAGCTAACGTTTGACACCGATCACAGCAACTCCACCTATCGCCATGGCGACCAGACGCGCTGAATGTGCCCGGATATAATACCATAACGACCTCACAACTGTTTACTTCATATTGTTGTTATTTATTATTTATTCGTTTATTATTCGTCGGCGTGGAAAACTTTGCAAACATCGATTTATTCATTTATATATTTTTTTTATTTCGTTTTTCGTAAATACAAACACAAACCCGCAAATAACCCACAGTAATCAAAACCACGTCGGAATGCGAACACAAACTTTATTCACTAGGATTCACAACTGCTGTAAGAATATCAGTTTAAGAGTGCAAGATAATTTCACAATTAAATTCTTCTTCTTTTTCATTATATATAGTTTTGTTGTCTCATGTGTCCTGATCGTACATGTTCATTGTTTGTCCCTGCTGTTGTTCCTTCATTCTTTTATTATTTCCTTATTCCTTTCCTTTCTTCCGTCATTCCTTCTCCTTCTTCTTCTTCTTCTTCTTCTTCTTCTTCTTCTTCTTCTTCTTCTTCTTCTTCTTCTTTTTCTTACTTCGACTACAGTAAAAACCCGCGAGTAAGAACCTGTATTTTCCCAAGATAGCCTAAACAGGTTCTTACACAAATGGTGCTTAGCACAAATTGAGGCTATTTAGGTTCTTAAATAAGTTCTTATTTTCTAAAGAAAATTCCCAAATGTTTTTCATACGATATGGTTTTCCTGGTTCGAATGTTAATCATTTGACAGACTCTTCTATATGCTGATGTGTAGCCATGGAGATATAAACAATATATATATACAGTATTTATGTGTAACTGCAACAATAACAATTCTATTTGATTTTCAACATTGGCATTTACAGTGTATTAAATTGGAGTGATAAGGCACCTGTGTCTTCAAAAAAAGATTTAAAATGTTGTTCTATCTTATTTGCCCAAGTGTACACATCTTTTTATATAGATTTTAGAAAATAAGAACCTGTTTCAAATTTTAGGCTAAGCAGGTTCTTAAAAACTAGGGGCCCGTTGTAAGAAACAAAATTAGTCTTAACATTAGTCTTAACATTACCTTTTTCTCTTAGACCGTCGTCAGAAACGCTGCGAAGTTACCTGAATGAAAAATCGTAGCAGATTTCCTCGTAACAATACGAAACAAAGTGCTGTCGACGGTCTACGAGAAAATGTTAGTGTTAAGACTATTTTTCCTATATGCCGTTATATTTCAACACTAAAAAATATATGAAAGTAAATAAAAAATTGATGTATCATTCACTATATACGTGATACAATCTACGTGAAGCACACATCTACGCAAACAGTTATAGACTCATAATTCACACGCACGTACGCACGCACGCACGCACGCACGCACGCACGCACGCACGCACGCATGTACGCACGCACGCGCACACACACGCACACGCACACGCACACACACACATGAACGCACGCTTGGAAAGATGCGGCTATCATTTAGTGTCTATATGTTACCAGTACATTATTAGTGTTATTATGATTTAAGTGTGACTGTGTCCGAGAAAGCGAAAGTGAACGTGCACGAACACAGTAACCTAGCGCGAAGTTGGTTTATCGCCAAAATGATCCTAGAAACAGTCAAGTTTTTACACTACAGCATTTACTTATAGTTACTAATACTAGCTGTCACCCTGATCATACCGATAGCATCCAGGCAGAGCTGCGTTGCTTGGTTGTTGATCTCAAGACAGCCGCGCATTGATTCACTGTGTAGGCCAGCCCCAACAGGGCCTTCATTCTGATAGAAGACACGAGGCTGTTCCATGCTAGCTCTGAGTACAAACAGTGGTATGACTGAGCGTAGCGGACGCTATAAATGTATTTATAATATGCATTTTTTGGTTGTACTTTGATTTAATTCTTTTTGTAAAATTCATCCCATCTTTTTTGTTGTACTTTTATATTCAAACTATAATCTCTGCATGTGTGTCAGTGATATGATAGTGGATACACTTTACTAGCCTCCCTGTGACCGCCTCACTCCATTTGATTTATTAGAGAAAACTTGAAAGAAATTAGTCCAAGATGTTGATAGACAATTAGATGAAAATTTACTTTCTTTTTGAACTGTTAACAATTTAAAACTTTTATTTAATGTACATAATTGTATTATTCATAAGTGTCAAGTCTTTTATTATGAAATATATAACCTTGGAATGCACTTGTTTTTCAACGTGGACCAAACGCTCAGAGAGACCAGACAACCCAGTGATTTAGAATATAGGACAAATTCGAGATATTTCCCAGGTCCCCAAGTGCGCCAACGCGCTTTTATGACAGTGTAGTCTTACGATTATAATACGGTGTGTGGTTCATGCAGCGAGCTGAACTTGCGGGTACCTGTAATACATTGAGAGACTCAGTGAGAGTTGTTGATGCAGAGCGATTGCCGCGGATATGGACACCAATGAATAGTGACTTGTCGCTGGAAGAGGGAGTCGACCGAGGGTGTGGGCGCAGATGGTGGGGGATCCCGGCGCAGGGCGGTTCGATCAAAGTCACGGAGGCTGAATGGTCTCGACGCTGTGGCCTCAAGGTGGGGCAAAGATGGGGGGAATAGCGCCTATAGCTAGCTCTCTAGATGTACTCATAGCACAAGAATATCCACCGCGCGGCGCCGGGCCGTGCTTGGGCCAGCAGCGGTGCTGGACACATAAGACGCGCTGCACGCCTACACGTACGACAAGTGCGCGCAACAGGGGACGCTGATGTACGCACACGCACACTACATCGATGGGATTATACCGACGCGCGCGACCACACGACACGCGCGCAGCGCAACGCTCACAAACCACACACACGACACACGCACAGCACACGCACACGCACACGCACGACGGCAGCAGGGGCATACCAAGGGGGGACACACGCACACGCACACGCACGCACACGCACGGGCAGACGTTACAGGCACCAAGTCTATCCTTTCGGAGCTTTTAAAATTCGGCGCAGCTAGCTTGGCCGACTGTCACGCGAAACATGCGGGTTCGGTTTGCAGTCGGCTATTCGGATCGCTATTTATCCCACGGTTCGGGTCTATAATCAGATTGACTGGCGGGGAGGCCAACTCCATGTGCCCATGACATTCAGCATCTAAAGCTACATCTTAATTGGCCATCCTTGGTAACATATTAGAGTGCCCAGCTATCTGATTTGATCGAGAACAGACAACAGAGAAACTTCCACAATTTGTATTAGATATGCACACATTCGCCTCCTGTTGTAATTTGAATTTTATTAGTGTTTTATTACACAGGCGCTTAACGATTATTGAAAGACGCACCAGAAATATTTATAGTTACATAGCTACGCGATGAGTTTTGCAGAGCGCAATTTTAATCACATAATTTCACAAAATTATTATATTGAGTGTTTCGCCAGTTGGGGGGATTTTATTTTTAACTTTATGGGCGAAATTTCACACGACGGAAGTGGAGGCGTTGTGTATTGTCCGGTTGCACAATGACTGAACGTTGCGATCGGGTATGATACAACCTGTCTTCTTGCTGTGCAGTTATCTGGGTGTTCGAAGATCAGAAACAAATTAGTCTGTCAAGAAACAAATTAGCTTCTCTCGATTAACCTTAACTCATTCATGGTTTTTCTCGTTTAGGCGAGTATGACCAGGAACTCGTAAGTTAAAAGCGAACACGGTAGCCTCTTAGCGTTCTTAGGGCTTATAAACTTAGGTTAATCAGTAATTCTAGGTTATAATTGACTACATCAAAAGTTTCATCGGTTCAATCCACGATTAGAATATTTTTTTGGTAAGTGTTTTTAGAGACACTAACGAACTACGTTATTGCATGTACAGAAGATTCAGGTGGGCCAGGCGCCACTCAGGCGCACGATTCGTGAGAAGTCCTAAGCGCAAACACTTTCAGCCAAGGGCTACAGACCGAGGGTATTTATTCATTTAAAAGCAAAAGGATTGTAATATCTTATAAACGACATATAGTTTCAGTTATAATATGGATAAATTTGCCCTAAAATGAATATCGTTCGGTTAAATAGCATTTAGGTATAAATATAATTGCACTTTTGTGATTAGCCTTCGGTCATTTACCTGCAAAATAAAAATGCAAATACGCAACTTTTTCAGGGTGGCAGCACGGTCGCGGGTGTCATGGCGCCGTTCAAATTTCGTAGCGTTGATGTGTAAATAATTAATTAAGTATCTGGTGACAAATACATGTGGGTATAGACGAGTTGTTATACAGTAAGTACAGTTGTATGCAGTAAAATCCTAGAGGCTACTGTCCCTTTAAGAGAATTAAACATTCTCGTAACTTTTCTCTTAACATAAGAGTTCCTAGACCCTCCCTTAACTTTAATATTAAGATGAAAATAACACATTTAGACTAAGAATTACAATTATAGTGATATTGTATTTTATATTAATGAGTAATATCATGTGTTTTTTTTGAAAAACACGTCAAAAACATTAATTATCTACCGATCGTGAAGCAAAACAAGAGTGTCAAAACATTTCAATTCTCGCGTCCCGTGAGAATTGCTACAGTGTGAGAATTTGTCTTGTTGTGCAGAATAAATTCAAGACCGTGTCGTTTTTCATCAAATATTATTTATATGTGGTTAGCCATCATAATATGCATAAATTACTGTGATGTACAATAAATGTGTATGAATTTGAACTTTGTGATTGATTCTCATCCAATCAGCAGCCTTGTGATTAAGTTCCTGTTATCGTGAGTTTTCATTAAAGTAAGTTTAGTTACGATAGGTTTCTGTCAACGCTATTAACTTTTCTCTTAACATTAACATTAGTCTTCAAATTAATCGTAACTTAACTTTAATCGGAAGTTTCTGACAACGGGCCCCTGATCTTTAGACTATCCTGAACCAGAATCCACCGGGTGCCACTGTGGCACCCTTGGGCATTTTTTTTTATCACAAAAAATACACATCGTATAATTTTCAGTCGACAAGGCCCCTTGTGATTATCAACGTGACTCGTGGGTATAAACTCTATTATCAGAATAATATTTGTTTTCGCACATCCTGCACATTCCGACTTCGACATTAGGCCTACTTGGGAAAAATCGTGCAATGTGTGCCAGCATGCGTTCGGTAATTTACGGATTCGCAGTTCGATTTCGTAGTCGACCCAGCTTTCAGACGTTGTTTAAACTAGACGATACAGCTCTTTAGCAATCTTCCTTCCGTCTTGGTTTTTTTTTCTCTACACTATAACTCGCACGGCCGATAAATCATCGATCTGAATGCTTGCCAGTTAACTGTGACATCGACAAAAGCAAGCAACCCTTGGGCGGTTCCCTCGTTTTCCATCCGTTTCTCCTCCTCCCGCTCCCTACTCTTCCTCCGTGACCTTCTTTATTCGATCTCTATTACATTCTCCGCTCCTCCTCCTCCCCCTCC